ATGGTTTCAGATACTAAAGTAATCCCAGTTCTCGCCTACATCTCAAATTCACTCTGCGCTAACAAAAATAATAATAATTATGGCTTGAATTTATATAGCACCTTTCACGGGACCCAAGCACGCTTAGTAAAAGACACTTTAAGTGAAACTCACAGAGGAAGTGTGCAGCGGCTTGCTGGTATCTGGTATTTCATTTCAAGTGATGCACTAACCACAAAGTAAGAGGGTTCGACATGTTTTTGGAATGTGAGAATCAGATATAATGCTGCACAGCAGTATTATTTATTACCCAGTGATGACAATGAACTCTGCTCAGTCTGATTACTGAAGCAGCATAAACCCAGATCTGAAGCAGAAGGAAATTGCTGTTGGTCTTATGATGCACATGCATTCTGGTTATTTATTAACTGCTGGATGTTTGAGTCAATATACACACCTCTTTGTGAGGACTAGTCAGGTGTGTCTGCATGTGTGTTGCATGCATGGGCCATAAAAAAGACCAGGAATGCATTGTTAGCAAGCAAAGTCACATGTTGCCACAAATGAGCATCGTTGTCATGCAGCGCTGTGAGGACTGACTGAATCTTACAGCTGTCTGTTGTATGGGTTTGAGGTGGTTGCTGCTATTCCAGTGACCTTATTTGACCAGGTTTCCGGGTGTCAGATGCAACTGTGGGTATAACTATTATCAGATTCACTTTCACTACAGGAGCAAATGATGCTCTCTCTGTCTGAGATATGTTAGCCTGCTGTTTGTGGCATGTCTGCAGGTGAAAGTACCACTATCATGTTGATTTTCATTTTTCCTATGACGCAATAGCGGCTGCTTTCTAACTTTCTCAACTGTAACTGTCACTTGTGTTTTTCGATATGGAAAGATGTGGCTGTGGTTTAGGTGACCCCTCTCAATGCCCATATTAGCTGCTCAAGCCAAAAATGTGTTCAATTAGAAAAAAGTTAAATGGATTTATGAATGACCTATGTAGTTCTGCTTGTTTCCAAGGAAAGTGAGGTCGACTTCAATAGCCAATCTAATCCTTCACTTTTCTCTACTGAAAAAAATTCTACGTCCTCCTCTCACTGAACAGTATTCTTCACAGTCTAGTGACTTACAGTGGAAGCACTAGGAAAGATTAGTGGTGGAAAAGGAAAACATCGGCCACTACGGTTTATAGTTTCCACGAGGTTAGAAGAGTCTGAAGGCCAGGGAGGTTGAGCATTCAACCTACTTTTCTGCTCCTGCTCCACTGAGTGTAATAAATGCACGATTCTTAATAAAGATTAAAAAATGAGTAAGAGCTGCAGAGAAACTCTTTTAAATTTCATTGATAACTTGTCACACACACTTGTCAAATCTTCAAAGGCAGCTGGGCTGGACTTAAGAGAGCTTGTTCCAGGAAGCCCCCGGTGATGAGGGGCTGGTGTGAGGGTTTATGTGCCATGAGTTTGTGGGTTATATGCAGAAACCATCTCAAGTTCAGTAGCACTTCCTTTATCAGTTTAACACCACATTGGCTTAATGCTGCCAAGAATATGAGTAATGGTCAACGTTTCACTTCTCTTATTTAACATTTTCAAGGGCGGAGGGTGTTCACTAGGGGGTTCACTAGGGTTGCAAAATTCCAGGAAGTTTCAAAGTTGCAAACTTTGAAAAATGGGAATTAACGGGAATAAATCTGAAATTTACAAAATAGGAGGTTGGCCCTCAACAGGGAACTTAAATATAGTTGGGGAAAATATATTTTAGCATAATCTTGGCGAAAACAACCAGATTTACTTCACGTGCACTCCTCAACCACATGCACACAGCACACTGCTTACTGCAGGGCTATTGAGGCCACACCCCCTACATGCACTGTGCATTCCTCCATCACATGCACATCTGATTTCAAGACTATTGAAGCCACACATTTGAGCCCAAGGACTATCTGAAGTCAAGTAAGTTTTGATAATATTATGGGGTAAATATATTTGATCTATAATAGTATTGATGTTTAACTTGGAAATATTAAATAAAAATAGGTGCTAAATGTCAGCAATTTTTCATTTCATTGACCATTTAAGAGGCTAGCTTATTATGGTGGCTACATTTAGCTACCTCAAATGTGATGCTTTTTCTTCAGACTCCTGCAAGATGGTTTTCTGTAACCATTCATTCATCAATTGTCAAATATTTTGAAGACCATTCCAGTTGTTTAGCAAAATATATTTCTGTTGAAATGTCAGGTTTTTTAATTGTATTATTTTGCATGGATGTCTGCTTATGACAAAACAAAAATATTTACATTTATATTTGGATATGATCCAGTTTGTTTAAATTACCCCCAATTACAGTTCATTCCCATAAATTCCCAATAATTCCCATAAATTCCCATAATTCTCATGGAAAGTTTCCAATTTGGAATATTTCCAAAATTCCCCACCTTAACTTCCCATGGAAAGTTTCGGGAAATTTACTGGAAATGTTCCGCTCCTTTGCAACCCTAGTGTTCACTCTTGAGGGGCCCAGTGTTGTAAAGCATCCTCTAATTGTTTTGCAATCTCCTCACACCCATCACTTTGTCTTAATCTACCAGGTGTATTCTGTCCACATTTTTGAACTGTCCTGGCTCATTGACACACTGAGGCTGACAGACTTCCTTGTGTTTAGAGTTGCTGCGTCACTGTGGTGATGCTGTTATGAGGAACGTCACTCTGGGACCAATCAGGAACTGGTGGTGTGATTGTTCAACTCCTCCCCTGCCCTATTGTCTTAAAGTGATAGTCTGACGTCCCAAGCCACAGCCTCTCGGCCACAGGAGAGCCATGACAGTGCAGAGGTGATGGGGGAGGACACACACACACACTGTGGATGGCCTGTGACACTTTCACATGTTCCTTGATGTCGATGCCCTCTTTCCTTTGACTGGAGGGTTCACTGAGGTGTGATCATCTCAGGGGGAAGACCTCAGAGCCCAAAATAAACCTGGGTCAATTCACAGTTGTATGACTTCAAACTCAAACGAGTGAAGCTGTTGACATCTGCGATATAAAAGGTATGTGAGGCCTGCACACCTGCAGTGTGTCACACCAGGATAACACCTGAACACTGAGCAGTGTTGTTATCATCATATGGTGATTCTTCTGAGTTTGGCAAAGAGTAATAGGTGTGGTTTTCACACTGTCACTTATCCGAACGTCAGTGACCTTCGATTTTTTTGTCCTATGTATAATTTCCAGTTAAACATTAACCTCTCAGGAAATCTTTTCTTCTGCATGTGTTGATACAAGCTCACGTTACCGCAAGGTGCTCACAAGCAGAAAAATGTAAATGGAGCAGTCAGACGCTGTTAAGGTCAGCAGCGTCTTGTGATATTGAATGTAAAAGAAGGTGTTGGTGTCACACTGCATGAACTTGTGTTCCTTTTATCCTTCATCACAGATGCAGCGGTCGCATGCAGCGCCACTCAGTTTAGCTGTGGGAATGGGAGGTGCATCACCAACAGGTGGATCTGTGATGGGACGGACGACTGTGGAGACGCAACTGATGAACTACCTGCAGCCTGCGGTGTGTTTTGTGTTTTATCTTATATGTGGGAATTAGGATTTTTTCATTTATTATTAATAAACATCTTTTAATACAAGATGTGAGAAAAAAGTGAAAAAAAATCTTCAAATATCTTGTTTTATCCAATCAACTATATTTAGTTTAGCATCATATATGAAAAGATAAAAATCAAATCTGCACATTTGACACTTTATTTTTAGATATTTGCTAAAAAAAAAAAATAATTCTTCAACCTCTTTTGTTATTGACTATTAAGATAGTAATTAAGAATAGAGTGTATATTTTAACCAAAATTAAGATTGATTGAAGAAATTACACAAATAGAAAACTGCACTGTTTGACCTGCTGACCTGCTGCAATATCAGAAATGCATTAATAAAGCTACTACAGAGCAGTCGTTAGTTTTACATGATACTACACTATAGTCAGAGGCCTTATCTGATGTTGTATGTTAATACATGCACATTTATTTTTTTTTTCTTCATATGTTTTGTTTCTGTCTGCAGCAAATAAAACCTGTCGGGAGTCAGAGTACAGCTGTGGCCTCCCCATGAACCAGTGTGTCCAAAGAAGCTGGCACTGCGACGGCAAAGAGGACTGTGACAACGGAGCTGACGAGAGAAACTGCAGTACGTTGAACTGACCAGTGTTTTATTGACCAATAAAGCAGAGTTTATTCAATTTCTCAATAACAATGAATGACAATTAAACATCACAAGCAGCGACTGATAATTAAAAGACATACAGGATTACAAAACAAACTAGTTATAAAACATTTACGTAGATAGATAGATAGATACATAGATAGATGGTGGTATTTATGCTGATTTATTGTTATTTTATCTAAATCTGGCATTTAGAAACAAACACAATGTCTTGATAATACATTAACTCCTCTCTTCTCCTGTCTCTGATTCACCACAGCGGCCAAACAGTGCAAAGCTGAAGAATTCCGTTGTGCCAATGGCCAGTGTATATCCAGCACCTTTGTCTGTGACAGCGACATCGACTGCTCAGACGGCTCAGATGAGGCCTCCTGCCCTAAGCCCTCCTGCAGCTCTCGCACCTTCCAGTGCAACAACTCGGTGTGCGTGCCGGCCATGTGGCGTTGTGATGGAGACAAGGACTGTGCGGACGGGTCTGACGAGTGGCCAGAGAACTGTGCAGATAAGAAGCCGGACAAGCCGGCGAAGCGCTGCGGCCTCCACGAGTTTGAGTGCGCAGATGGGGAGTGTATCCACAGCAGCTGGAGGTGTGACGGAGGCCTGGAATGCATCGATCATTCGGATGAGGCCAACTGCAGTAAGTTGGCTTCCTTGCCTTCCATCATTGTCTCTTTGCTTAGTAGCCCATCCATGCTTTAACATACATACTATCATAACATCTGTCAAGAAGATCCTCATTTCATATTAGCCATGATTTTGCCTCTCACTCTCTCTCTGTCTCTTTTTCTCTCTGTCACCCATTTGTCCTCTTTTTCTAGGTCGTCCCACTTGTCGTCCCGATGAGTTCCAGTGTAACGACGGCACCTGTATCCACGGCATCCGGCAGTGTGACAAAGTGCCCGACTGCAGGGACCTCAGCGATGAGATTGGCTGCCACATAGGTGACTCTCACAGAAATCCGGCTGATTTTCATCTTAAAGGTCTTAAAGGTTAAATTCACACCCGCCTCTCTTTCTATCCACAGAAAATCCATGCGAAGGCCCGACCCAGTTTAAATGCAGCAGCGGGGAGTGTATCGGCATGGAAAAGGTGTGTGACCAACAGAGAGACTGCAGGGACTGGTCTGATGAACCTGTCAAAGAGTGTGGTAAGTGAAGCCTTATGTAATCATCCACCCAAAAAAGGCAAAAAACATCCGTTTATAGCATGTAGATTAGAGTTTGTACATTCCTCTGCTGCGCTGGGAAAAAAGTGAAACCACATCACAGTGTGGAAAATATATTTAAGACTAGTGAACCCAGCAGGATCACTGGCCTAGATAGTTTGTGGTCAGTGTGAGTTACCATTAGGAAAACGGTTGTCATGAGTATCATTTGTATTCCCCGTGTGTCTGCGTCTCCACAGGCAACAACGAGTGTTTGACAGGAAATGGCGGCTGCTCCCATCACTGCAATGATCTGAAGGTTGGCCACAACTGCTCGTGTCCACCTGGATACATCCTGAAGATGGACAAGAAAAGCTGCGAAGGTGAGAGGAGGGAGTCGAGGACTGACAGAACTTTCAACTTTTGAAAGTCCATCTTATAAGCAGGCTGTAGTCACCTTTGGTTCCAGGACATGTAATTTAGGCAGTGGTGGAGGAAGTAACTCATTCTATTGTAATGTTTGTAAAAGTACAATTAAATAGACAAACATGTACTCAAGTAAAAGTAAAAGAATCATATTAACTTTTCTACCTGTGTAAAAGTACCTATTTCTAAATATAAATAAAGTAGTAAAAAACCTGTGTTTACTGCAGGTTCATTTGACCCAGGAGGGATTGCTGATTGTATCCATTCCCATTGCAGACAGAAGCCCGATGTTAAACAAAAAGGGGCTTAAATATATGTACTTTTTTACACCCTGCCAATAAATTTAGCAAACATTATTAGCAACATAGTCACATCAACTGCTGATGTAGCTGTAGCGCCCTTAGCCTCACTAGACGGCTGGCCACACCGTGCTCTGTGCCGCCTGAGTCGCTCGTCCTTCCTGGCTCGCCACCGAACCTCCACGGGTTCGGAACCGGATCAAGTCTTAATACGGCAATAAAAAAAAAACAATCAGAGTTTCTCTCAATGGTCTCACACGGTGAAACAGCTCCTCTTATTCAACATAACGCACAATAGTCGTTCCAATACTCGTCAGCTCACTCACTAAAAGGGCTCTCTCTTGTCAACGTCTCGGGTCAAAGGGCACTCGTACTCTTGACCATGACAATGCATAAAGCTGATGCGCCACCTTGTGGTGGGGCGTGGTAAAACTCTTAAATTACATAAATAGGTTTAATACCCATGTGGGTTACATGACTATGGGTTTTCCTCCTGACTTTATGTATGTCCACCTGCAGACATTAACGAATGTGCCGAACCGGACACGTGCAGCCAGATCTGCATCAACCTGCCCGGCAGCTACAAGTGTGACTGCCAAGACGGCTATGAGATCGACCCTGCGACCAAGACATGCAAAGCTGAATCTGGTAAGGTTTGAAAGACAGCTTGTCTCTCCTCAAAATGTTCTCCTCTTTGGATTCATAGTCTTGTGTTAAAACTCTTTTCTTCTGTGTCCTCTAGGCACCGTACCTACGCTGTACTTCACCAACAGACACGAGGTGAGGAAGATGACGGTGGACCGCAGTGAGTACGTGAGTCTGATCCCACAGCTGAAACTTGCCGTGGCTCTGGACATGGATATGCCAAACAAGATAATCTTCTGGTCTGACCTGGCCCTGAAGAAAATCTACAGGTAAGAACACCTGAGGCCTTATTTCTTTTTAATTTTCCCCTCCGTCGTGTAATTAGACCTAGCAGTGCTAACTAAACGCGGAGACACTCGTATATACTGTAGCTGCAATTGTTGTTGGTGTTTCTGGCACATGCTCATTACACAAAACAACAGAGGGTATTAAGTAAGCTCTGACCTCGTTGTTTCCCAAACACTGTTTTAAACCTGCATCTCATTCCTGACAGCTCCAAGCTCGAGGTGGCCAGTAACTCCTCTTACCACACTGAAGTAATTGGCAGTGGAATTGAGGCCCCAGAAGGAATCGCAGTGGACTGGATCCATGGAAACATCTACTGGACCGACAACATATTGAAAACTATCTCTGTGGCAACGACTGACGGCAACAAGAGGAAGACGCTCATCACAGAAAACCTGGAAAAGCCAAGAGCCATCACCGTGGACCCGGTGAATAAGTAAGTGAAAGTTTGAAACAGGTTGTAGAACAGTAATCGTATATATCTCAACTTAGATGAATTGCTAAATGTTAAAAAAAAATTCTTCCCCTTAGTAAAATTTGTGTTGTGTTGTTTCCTCTTTAGTTTTATGTACTGGACAGACTGGGGTGAGGAAGCTAAAATAGAAAAGAGTGGATTGAATGGAGCAAATCGTGTTGCCTTGGTGACACAGAACATTGTGTGGCCCAATGGCCTCACCCTTGGTAAGCAGAAAACCAAGAATTTCCATCCAAACCGTACGAAGATCACACCGCCTTGATAACTGATCAAATGTCTGTGTGTTTGACGCTCTCTCTGGACAGACATGGTTAACCAGCGACTGTACTGGGTGGACTCCAAGATGCACACGCTCTCCAGCATCGACGTGAATGGAGGGACACGGCACAGTCTCATTTTCGACGTGGACAAGCTCTCCCACCCCCTGTCCCTCACTGTGTTTGAGGTTAGCAATGAAACAAATGTATCCACAGATGGAAATGTAGCCACTGAAGGTCAAAGGTGTCACGTCTGATACATTGAAGCACTTTATAGATACAAACACGGGAAAATGTCCACACTATTGGGTTTCAGACATTCTTTAGATTTTGCCTTTCACTTATGAGGAATCTAGCAGGGGATTGTCAAGGTCAGATACGTTCACAACAAAAGGCAAATGTCCGGAACATTCAGGCGAGGGGTGGCATCTGGTTAGAGTATGTAGAAGGCAGGACATAACGTAGAAATTCCAGTGCGGAAATCAAATGACGAACATTTTAAAAGGGTGCTGGAAGCAGCTGATTCAGACATTTGCGTTCTCCCATTCACCTCCTCTGGATAATTTCAAGAGAAAGTCTGGAGTTCAGTGGATGTCTGAAAGCACAGTATTATGCAAATGTTTTCAAATGTATTTACCACACTAATTCAAACCAGTCACTCAGTAATCTAATTCATATGCAGGTGTCAGGCTGAAATGTTTATAGTTGGAAGCCAGAGCTTAATCTACTGTGGTTATTCTTCTCCAATAAGTCTTGATAATGAACTTTGTGTTTCAGTGCAAATGTACCAGAATTACTCAATTTGTATTTCTTTCCTTTTAAACAGGAGAAAGTGTTTTGGACGGACATGGGCAATGGCGCAGTTTTTAGCGCCAACCGTCTGACAGGGAAGGATATCACCGAGCTGGCAATTGACCTGGACCAACCAGAGGACATTGTACTCTACCACAACCTCAAGCAGCCCAACGGTACAGACACATCCCTCCATCTCAAAGTTATAACAAACAACAGCCTCTTAAGGCCATGTAAAGTTTTTTAATGCTTATTGTTGCCATTCTTCTGTCGTGAAGGTACTAACTGGTGCAGAGAGAGCAACAGAATGAATGGAGGGTGTGAGTTTCTGTGTCTCCCTGCTCCTCTGATCAACCAGCACTCTCCGAAGTACACTTGTGCCTGTCCTGACCACATGACTCTGGGACCTGACATGAGGACATGTGTGGCAGGTGAAAATCCCCCTGTGCACGGCCCTGCATATGATCTGGAAATGAACAGAACCTCTATAGTAACCCATTTACCTTTTTGTTTCTCAGCAGGATCTGTTGCCCCTCCTGTCAAAACCAGAAGTGACGCTCCGCTCACACCCAAAGTTCCCACCAAGCCGACTACACCCAGGCAGCCCATCCCTACCTCTACAACCACAACTACAACCAGTGCGACTGAAAAACTCACATCTACCTCATCCATCCAGCCTGTCGCCACTGCTCAAGGTACAGAAACTAGTCCTGTCTGTGGCCAATGAAAGAATCAATGAAAGTGTTTGAATTAAGGTTCCACTGTATGTGATCCCTTACATAATAAACTAGAACAGCACTCATTAAGCTGCACCCAATTTAATTGATCTCTTCCCTGAATGTGCCTGATTTATTTCCATCAAGGTTAATGAATTATCCCCTTAGAAAATGTTGAAAAATGGAATGGGTTCTTTCTTGACCTACACAGCATCCTTCCTCCAAGCTTCATGGTAATCCATCCAGTAGCTGTGTGTAATCCTGATAAATAACTAACAAAAACCTACTATGAATTGAGTTGTTAGAGGAAAACAACACATATTCACTTTCTTGCCAATAGTTCAATGCCAATCGCATGTCCCTAAATATTAAGCTATAGCTTAGCATAAAGACTGGAAATAAACACTGAAGTTCCACGGAGCAAATGGCTGCAAGCCGGAATCGAATCTGAGCCGCTGCAGAGGCCTGAAGCCTCGGTATGGGGCACCGGCTCTACCAAGTGAGCGATATAGTGCCCTGTGCACTTGAATTTTTTAAATAATGGGAGATGGCACTAAAACACACCCATGATCAGCAATGAGACTAAGTACAACCTTTTAAACAATGCGCCTGACGCACTGACATTTTTTTTCCGGCATTACGCAAAAGTGGTTTTGGACACACCCTAAAAGCACCTTCGTCATTGCTATGGACCATGTGCATAGATTGTTGAAATAGAGCGTATAGTGTTTATTACCCACACAAACCAAATGTTGAAAAAGACGAGTTGTGCTGGGAGACACACTGTCCTTTGTGGTCTGGTACAATGACTTTCTTAAGTCTCCTTTGCTTGTTAAGCTAAGCTCATCTCTTACAGTATTTACCACAAAAACACACAAGAGTGACACTGATCTTATCTAACTTTATTTGTATAAAGACAAGACGATTTATATAATGGAAAGATTGGATTCTTTGTTTTTCCAGGTAACAAATTGGCAGCTGTGCCTGAAGAAGCCGATCCATCCCACCCTATTGCTCTGTACATCGTGCTGCCAATAAGTAAGTTCCACATTTCAGCCCTCTGTGTCAAAGACTCTGAAGAGTCACACATACAGTCTGAGTGACCTGTAACCCTTCTCCTGCTCTGCAGTGGTCATGTCCCTGCTGGTCTTTGGAGCAGTGTTGTTATGGAGACACTGGCGTCTGAAGAACACCAACACCATCCACTTTGACAATCCAGTGTACCAGAAAACCACAGAGGACGAGTTGCACATCTGCAGGAACAGCTCCGACGGCTACGTTTATCCTCAGGTATCTTCACTTCAATGCCACTTGAAATAGATAAATCAAAGGATGTAGTTTTATACTGTATATTTTGTTTTATTTCTTTATTCAAGAGTAATGCTCTTGAGTCTAATGCTTTGACTCCAAACCCTCTGCTTATGCTCAAATAGCCCCTGCTTGTGCTTAAACTGTGCACTTGCACTCAGATATTTTGTTGCTTGGACAGATTCCCTGCGCTCCAGCTTCGGCTCGTCTACTCGCGCTTAATGCTTTCAAACTGAAGACCACTCTCTTGAATAAAGACAGGAAAAAAAACACCTAGTTTTACAGTTTTAATTATACAGTGTTTCTTTTTTTTTCTACAGAGACAAATGCTGAGCATGGAGGACATGGATGTTGCTTGACCCAAAGATAAAGAAGACACTAGCTTTGTTTGAGGTGACGTTTTTCTTTTCCTGATGCAAACATGAAGCCATTTCTTCTCCTACTGCTGCCTACCAGCTGCCTCCTTCTCCTCCCCCAGTGACCTCATTTAGTGGCTTATGTTTCTGACCTCAGCACTGTGCCGTCCAAGTCGGATGAATGAACTTAAAAAAACAAAACAAAAAAATGTTTTATGGCAAAATAGAGTATAACCACCAGAAGCCATTTCGTCAGACCACTAAATGGTTTCAAAATGAAGGACTAATGCACGCTTTGAGAAGAAGAAGCATCGTGTTGCATGAGGTGTAGATGAACGCTCGCTTTACGGCAAACACATCACCTTAGTATGTTGCTCACCTAAATGCACATGGATCAAAATCTTTTTTCAATGAGTTTAACTTGAAAAACTTGACCTTTACTGTCCAAACACGCATGTGTGCCTTCCATCCACAATCTGGATGTACACACAGTAAATGCCTTACTCACCCCACTTCCTCTCAAACCTGTTTCTGTGGTAGTTGATGTTTGAGTGCTTTAACCCCAGGCAGTGACGGCCTCCATTACAAACATATTGTGGCCTTCTCTTTTCCTGGATACAGCTTCGCACATTTAGTATCAGAGGCATTTTTCTACTATCACCTATTATAGTAACTTCACATCTGAATCAGTGCTTGTTTGTTGTCTTTCTCTGAGTGAAGCATCTGTACATGAAGAGTCACAGATGGTTTATTTTGTAAATGGAAAAGCTGCTGAGTTTTTTGAAGTCAACCAAAATGAAGTAAATGTTCTTTTTTTTCTTTTTTTAAATGAAGATAGTTAAAGTAAAAGAAATGATTGTACTGTAAGTGATGGCCTATCGTAACACTGTAAATAATGTCTGTAAATATTTGGTTTACTCTGGTGTTGCCTTTTTACGTTTGTAAATTTTAATCAAGAAATATTGTACATATGTGTAAGATTCTTTAATTTATTTATGGAATATGAGAGAAGGTTTTTTTTTTTGGTTGTTGTTGTCTGGCTGTAAATACATTACATACTATATATTAGCACCAGCCACAGTGACGTGATTTGGTTACATCTCAGCCAGATTAAACTTGTTTTAAATTATGCCTGCTCCGTCTCGTGTGCGCCACATCTTGTATGAGTCAGTGCTGTGGGGCAGTGACTATCGTTTGTAACTGTTACAGAGAAACACTGAAGAAACTCTCTTTGTTCCTTAAATCTCATAATTTATTTTTGCTTCTGCCTTTCTGTTAAGATGCATTTTCATATATACAGTCTTCAAAGGATGATGTACAGTATAAGTACAAGTATATTCATGCACAACAGCCTGCACATCACTATTTTCATGTTTATTTGTGTTGGTCTTTTTTTAAATAAAAGAAAAATAGTTTCTCACGTTCATGTTTGGGGGTTTTATAATTTGGAAAGGTTTTTATCATGACTGAGATAAACTTGAACCTGTGGTGTGTTTTCATGCCACACACTGGCTTTAAGCAAGTTGTGAGTGTGTTGTGTTCACACTGGAAAATGACAAAATAAAGTGTTATGGTCAGTATGCAGATGAAAAATCTTTGTGGTGAATAGCTCCAGTTTAACTGACACCTGGTGTTATTGTGTCTTATCATGTTAATACTAGAACTGCAGTCAGTAGAGCCCAGCCCTCTGACAAGTCCCCTTATATTAAAACAAGCTTGACTAAGGTTACTCAGCTACACAATAATGGCAGTTACAGGTGTCTTATATATATATATATCTTATACAGGTGGCCTATGAAACCAGAATTAAATGTACTAAATCCAGATTTTCACTAGCATCTGCATGAAATTACTCAGAGTCATCAATCATCTATACCAACCCCCTATCTATCTGATTTTTCCCTTCAGGAGTAACACAAAAGAGTTCATGAGAAATAAATGAAAAATTTGAGCTATCTCACAAAGTTAAAGAAAGTGAAAAAGAAATTCTTAGATCTTATTATTGATACAGATCCATTCCACCCAGTAGTTTTTGTGTAATCCTGGTAACAAACACATGCAATGAAAACATCTTTGACAACCTCTCCTGTTTATTCTCAGACTGAGTACAATCGATGTCCATGAAACCTGCTTATGTTTCTGTTGCCTGGAAACCATGTTGCTCTACCACAGCTGCATCTACATCACAATACGAACCTACACACAGAGTGGATGAGTGTTTAAACAAAGGAAGTTGAAGCGAATAAAGCTATGTTCTCTACCATTCCTTATGACATTGAGACATTATGATATATGGGTCAGTGTTGGCAGTAAATGATGGATGATGTGCATGCTAAATTAAGCGATTTATAGAGAAGTACCTAGAATGATTCTGCAAATCAAATTGGTACTGAAACGTGACGTGGTGCTTTTCCGTCTGAAAGTGGCTTTTAAATTTGAAAAAGATGTCTCAATTTTCTTTGTATCTGCATTTTATGTATATGCATTCATATTAAATTGAGGGTTATCAATCCATGTTAGGTTGTGAGAGTAACGCTGTTTGGCCTGACAGACCCATAAAACAAACAACCAGCAAACATCTTCAGTAACCTAATAAACCCTCATCCATAATTCACGTTCAATAATGGATCCTGTCTGTTAAAGGGAAGCCCCGGCAGAGCTGCGTCTGCTGCAGCGCACCAGAGCGCAGTGGGGCTGGATAAAGAGGAAGCAGAGGAAATGTCATTAATCAGCAAGATACAGACCTCCTAACAAAAAGGGAAGCCATCTGCTGGTCTGATAGGAAGGAAAGCTGCTGAGTCACTGAAACCATTTGTTGAGTGATAATAGAAAAAAAAAACAACCATGCATGACACAGAGACCACCTTCAAAAAGCTCAACTCTGATATCTCAAAGTGAATGTGGAGGAGTTGCATTCGTGTCATTCACATATGTCGAAAAATCCAACTTGGGTGTGTATTGAGATCACTTATGAACTAGCAGCAATTCTTTAGAATAGTGCACAGAGAATACAAGCACCTTTCTTTTTATCTAGCAGCAGAGATATCTTCTAAGCTGTGATTTGCTTTACCACTTGCACCAAATGAAAGTTAACAGGAGGCACTGATACATCTGTGTGATCGTGCCATTGAGGACATTTTGGCCAGTCCTCCCTTTTTAAGGGTAAAGACTTACTTTTTGTGTTAAGGTTAGATTTAGGTTCAGGTTAAGGTTAAACAGTTAGTTGTGATTGTTTACGTTAGGGTAAGGGGCTGGGGATGCATTATGCCAATTGTATTAAGCTAATGAATGTCCTCACTAAGACATCATTTTGGTAAAGGCCTTCTTGGACTCGTACCACTTCTTGGTGGACCAACACTTTCACTCAGCATTGACCGCCGCATAGAAGTGTGTGTGTTTGTGTAAGATCAGGAACTTCCTGTCGTGCACCGTCACCTTATTTGAACTGGAAACTGTGGCATGTTGCCTGTCAGGAACTGGGTTTCACATTCCAGTAAGGAAGACTCCACACCCAACAGAGTCATCGTATCTGACGAAAGCAAAATGTCACCATTGGCTTTGTTAATTTACTTAACTTACCAATGTGTTTGACAAGAGGATAAAACTATGATTTCCACTGCCAGTGGAGCAAGTTGGATATCGTATGTTGCCATCACTATAGCAGCATCATTGTTGAGACTTGGCTCTACTTAACATGTTAGCCTGGGTATCACTGTGTGGTAATATGCTTAGCCCATGAGGCAACAGTCAAATACACCTGAGGCTCAGGTGACAAGTGACACCTGCCTCCAGCTATGCTCTGTCAACCACATCCTCTCCTCATCACTATTGACACAGCGTCGCCATCCTCTATTGGCCCGCTGGTACCCAAAGGGTGGAGCTGCATCTCACACCACCGACTCGTAAGCAAATGGGAGTGTCCTCGAAAAAATCGACAGCGGGAGAGGAGTGGAAGTGGAGGAGGGTGGATGGAAGATAGATGTTATGTCCTGATGATAAGGTAACAGCAACAGCCTGTTTGGTCTCTGCCTGACAACCAAGGGCCAAACAAGCTGAACCACTGCAGCGTCTCTGGAGGATGTACAACTGATACATGCAGTGTGATATACATTTACTGCTAACTGGACTGCTGCCAAATGAAATTTGGTTGTGTATTGATGAACAGTGACAATAAAGAATCTATCTA